GTTTACACGTGCCGTAAATAAATCGAGTACACTAGGAGTAATAAAATAAAGAAACACAAGATTCACACCTCCTTGACCAAGGCATATTAAGCCATCTCTTTCAATTAATTTCATAATTAAATGTCATTAAGCTTTTTGTTTCCTTCTCGAGAGGAAAAATAAAGGCATGAAAGCATAATTGAGATGGCTGTCCACGTCATTAGATTTTAATTAATACGAATGGGTCAAGGTATTAAAATTTTGATTTAATATAAAACGTACACGTACCATTTCAAATTTTTGTGAACGAATATGTATAGAACTAATTTTGTATATGTTATTGTATCTGTGTAAGACTGTTAGTACGTCATATTCGATTCGGCGCCAGTATAATTAATTAAGAAACCACTTTACTTGATACTGTATTTATTATATATGGCCATATTGGCCACCACAATAAATAGAAAATACTCCTTCAATTTAATTATTTCCCCCAGTTGTGATTATACAAGAATTCATTGAACAATTAATGAACGACATTATTCAGATGTATATGTATACAGTATACGTACATATACAAATGAAGGCATAGATTCTCTATATACTCATAGTTATGAAGTAAATCGAGCTAGTAGCTTAGTACTGTCCACTTCAGGAGAGTGTGGCTATTGTTCAATTAGAATCTTTTTAGTTGATCGATTTGAGGAATATCGACCCCATTAGTCACACTGATCTGCAGGTTCTGATTTGTTTTATTATATAGTGCAATTTTATTTTATATGATTCATCCTTTGGTGATTATAAATTGACATTACGGTGTGATAGCTGCGATGATGGTACATTGTGGTAAAATCATGAAATGATGAAAATAGTACAGTTCAATAACGTTTTTATATGGTAGGTACATAATAGTAGTAGAATAATGAAAATGATGACAATGGTACAAGTAACTTAAGTATTTATATGGGTAGTCATAAAACGTCGTCAAACTATATATTCGTTCTAGTTAGAAATTGACAGAAGTTGGTTGCTGTAGAAAATTCAGAATATTTATATTTGATCAATGATTTATGCTAATATTCGTATTTGATCCTACCATTTTGGGTATAATTAGCTGGAAAATTCAGATATGCAAGGTTCCATATTCAAAAGGAAGACCGACTTTTGTATCATATATATATATATATATATATATATATATATATACAAACGATTAGTTCCTTTGAGTGTTGATAACGTGTGTGTGTTTGTTATTAAGTTATAAGTATGAACTCAAGTGGTAAATTGGTAATTAAGAGTTATATATAGTAGGTGTAGGTTTGAAATATTTTCGGTATATATATTTGAGAATTTATAGTAAATAGCTATGAATTCAAAAAGAATTAAGAAAATAGCCATGAGCTACAGTACTTTGTCTGTTGGATGTCGGAAAGCACGTGAAATTACACACATGCCCTTTATAACATGTTTTTTTCTCGAATTACATGTGATAGAATAATATATCTTTTTTTATCATATTATTTTCCGGTTTTACACGTTATTTATAAAGAGTACATGATATTTTTTGAAAAAAACACTTTATTCAGTTTAATATCTTTCTCTATCATGTTAATTTATAGTAATACACGTTTTTTATTATGATCACATGTGATTTTCTTTAAAAAAAATTCTTATTTTCTAGTAATTCACGGTTTTTATTAAGATCACATGTTATTTCTTTGAAAAAACACTCTATTCAGTTTAATATCTTTCGCTATCATGTTATTTTGTAGTAATACACGTTTTTTTATTATGATCACATGTAATTTCTTTAAAAAACGATTCTTATTTTCTAGTAATTCACGGTTTTTATTAAGATCACATGTTATTTTTTTATAAAAAAGATTCTATTCAAGTTTAATTTTTCCGTAACAATGTTTTTTTTAAAAAAAACACTACGTAACAATGTTTTTTCTTAAAAATTCACTACGTTTTTTAAATAATATGTATTTTAGTTAAATATATAACATGTGAAATTTAGATCTTACGTGCTATTTTGAAAAATATCACGAAACAATGTCGCCTACTATAGATCTCAAAACAAACGGAGGATGGTTTTGTTATTTCACCTGTTCAGACAAGGTGGATCCATGCTGTTTTCCGACATAATTTTCTCTCTCTGCTAGTTTCTTAATTTATGTGTCAAATTTGATTAGTTAGTAATATTACCCTATATATTTCTGTATACCTATATATAGTTTGAAAATATACGACGGTAGGTTTGACATAAATTAAAACACAACGTAACTGTGATTGAGCTTGATCGATTATAAAAAAAAGCTTTCGTGTTATACACAATTTTAAGTTATAATCATGCAGATAGATACAAAATAAAAGTCTAAAAACTAAGAAAGAGAGAGCAGAGATTGTGGGAAAAATCTGCGAGCGATATACGATGATTGATGCGAGATTTAATAATTTTATAAGTCAATGGGCACACATGGCGCACATGCCACTCGTTTCTAATCGTACAAAAATAAAAAAAATATCAACGACTATAAGAAAATAATCAATATTATTCAACAACATCTACTGTAGTTAAAAGGAAAACACAAATAGAATTAGAAAGTTCCTCTAATATTCATGTTACATTATTCAATTCTCTAGTAAAAGAAAAACTGAATAATGTAACATGAAGACTAGAGGGATTTTCTTAACTAAATGTTTATCTTAATTTCATCTACCATTGGGAGAATAGAGGGATTTTCTTAACTAAATGTTTATCTTAATTTCATCTACCATTGGGAGAAGAGTTAATACGGTGTACTCAGGCAACCACAACCGGTATAGTAGAGACAGAACCAATTTAAATGTCGCCTTAGATCTGGTTAATACTTAATAATATAGTGATCAACGGTGGAGATCAGATCTCAACGATGTATATAAGGATGTTTTTTATAGAACTTTTTAAGATATTGACAGTCACATATTATGATAAAAAGGTATTTTTTCTGTGAATGTATCCACAAGGTAAGGGGGAAAAAGTGGTCCTAGTTCCTCATTCTAAATTCCTTCTATTTCGTGGAAAAAATTGTTGTGTATTTCTTCACGTATAAACTATATACATTTATATATTGCAGTGTAAAGATTATAGCATATAATGCATCGATACGTAGACATAAATGAAAGTACAAATATGCATATAGTGCATCGATACGTATAAAAGGGGTAAGGGAGAAGCGGTTCAGAAACTTAAATATGATGTTCCCTCTCACTGTTTTGTTCATTCAATTCTCTGTTTCCCTCAAAAAGAGGTAATCGTTTTAATATTAAAATAAAATATAAATTGGAAAAAATTTCATTAGGCGATGGGCAAGAGTCATGAGGACGTATTGCTTTTCTCATAGATCCAGCTTGTTTTTATTTTATTTTATAACAACTACTAGTAGTAGTATTCAGATTGCAATAAACATTTATAATTTGGGCTACTACTACTAGTAGTTTGTAATTTGAGCTACTACTTTTTGTTGTTTGATAGTTAGGTTACTATTTCCCCTTGAGTGAGGAACTCTCGTAGAATTTAGCAATAAAAAAATTATAAAATCTTTATCTGTCTGCATTGAATTAGACGAATTTTAATCGAAACTTTAAACAAGATATATAGTTAGAGAAAATCTTATTTTTAATATAAATTATCAAAATGTCTTGTTTGTATTTTTTTAAGTATATTGCTATATGAAAATGAAAATCAAGAATTGTTTTGCAAATGCCATGATACTTTTATATAAAAAGTTCCATGATGTGTAAAATTGGATGATGACGAAGTTTTTCAGCTAAAAACAGGATAGTAATCCAAGAAAATGTTTTTTTCTTGGTATTTTTCTTTGAAAATAAACGTATCTATCATACTTTTTTTTGGTAATTGTGGAAGTTCGTTGAGTGGTAACATCCCTGTGGACCACACCAATTCAGATCCTCCAAATCTTGCTTTTGGTCCGACTGAAATATCATTATAGTTGTAATAATAACACGGTTGTAATTTATATTATATTAAAAAGCATTATAATTTCAAACCCTTTATGAAAACATGTATTGAAATTTCTCTTTGTATTTGCATCTGCGTTTACATGTGGATCGAAATCACATTTTTATGCTGACGGTGAAACAAAATCACAATTATGAAATAAATCAATAAAACTTTCTTTTTCCTTTTTTAATAAAATATATTAAGAAATTTCAAATGTAAACGACTTATATTTTATGATGATAAGTGAATGAAATAGTCTCCAAAGTTTAATACGTTTCACAGTAATGGTGAATGGATGATTATTAAAGGTTTTTTTCACATTGGATATTTTAACATTTGATGTATCACGAAACCACTTGATTACATAAATTAACGGTTTTGGAGTATTTATTATAACAAAATGTTTATTACCAATTTATTTTGAATTTAAGGCCATAAACCTTAATAATACAGTACTAACATTGGTAATCGACATCAATATTTTCAAACATAAAGATAAAGAGTTCAAAAATAAAATAAAAAATCGGAGATTAAGACCTTTCATGAATACCTTTTTTCTACTTACCAAAAAAAATGAATACCTTTTTCTCATAGTGAAAACTAAATTAAGATTTATATTTATAAACAAATCCAATCATGCAAGGGAAAAGGTATTTATTTATAATGTAGATGAAGAACAAAATTAAGAGAAACAGTTCTACATCACATCATTTATATATCTATTAGAGCATCTCCAACCCACTTTTATATTTACTTCTAAACTCTATTTTAGATTCAACAAATCTACTCCAACCCACCTCTATTCTCACCTCTAAAATAGAGATCTCTATTTTTTTCTCTATATATAGAAGTGAGAATAGAGAATTTCTATTTTTTTTCCTATAAATAGAGTTAAATTTTTTAGAGGAAAAAATAGAGGAACACATTGGAGGAAAAATAGAGAAAACTTACCTCTATTATAGAAATAGAGTTAAAAATAGGGAAATAAATTGGAGATGGTCTTAGTGGATGCCCTACGAATTGTCTTTTGTCTCCATAATTTTTATTTGTCATATTAAATTGCATCATTAAAGAGACAAAATTTGATAATGATCCACTTTTCTTCTCTCCTATTTTTCCACCCCCGAATAATTCTTGAAGTTTCTGCTTCTTTATTTACTTTTTATTATTATATGTTCATCTTTATTTTGGATTATATGCTCGCTATTGTAACTTTTGCGTTTTTTCTACTTGGAAAATTAATATTTATAGTCAATGAAAATTAAATACTATAGATAATCAATGAGGTGTCCTTCATCCATACGGTGGGTATAATGAATGAATTATTTATAATCCAATTACTGTTTTGTCACATTGTTAGAATTTTGTAGGTCTGAGTGTTGGTTGATATTTTTTTTCTTCACAACACTAATAGTTCATGATATTCGAAAGTCAACAGTAAGCAACACCTGAGAAAGTTATTAGTTGCATATGATTGGAAAGCAAAAAAAAAAAAAAACGCCGAAATTGTAGTTTGGTTAAGATTTGTCTTTAACAATCATAACTCCGATCCAAATGAAATATAGGGACAGACTTAAAAGCCAATGGGCTAATATTATGATGGACTATAGTAAAGGCTAAGAAACCTGAGAAACTTGTGTGAGGAACATCAGATGGTCCAAATCCAATGTGTTTTGCGTTGGACTTTTTGTTATTCTTCACCTCCTGACAGCATAATTCTTTGCTCGGAAGATGATTTAAACAGAAACATATAAAGGAATGAAAAAAGTTGGGATACATTTCCCTAAAGCAGAAGCAATATAAAAATGCTTGAATTAGATAGCTTCACTCTCACGTCATATTATTTCTATATCCTCCTTTTGTGATCTTATATAAATCCCTAACCTCGTTGTAACAATCCATGTGCACAATTAAATATGTTCAAAGAAGCAACGTGCCTTTAATCCAAATCTCGTTATCACTTATATACAATTATCAGCATACATGGCCAAGGTTCGAGAAAACAGAAAATTTATTTATCTTATTTTCTTCCACTTTTGAAAATTGAACAATAAAATGACTTCTTACTTGTAGGAGAAGGAACCGCTGATGGAGGATCTAGAACAAGGAATACAGCTAACCAGTGAGAATGAAACCGGCGGGTCTGGTAACGTGGGTAGGTGGAGCGAAGGATTTCATGATCCATTGGTTCCTAAACACGGAGCAGCTGAGAAAGCAAAGGTTCTTTCGGTCACCACTAAACCGTATAAACCGGTTCCTTGCTCTGAATCTGAGATTTCCGGTATATGGCCTTCTTCATTTAGCGAGTATTGTTGCATCTATAGAGTACCTAACCGGTTAAGGAGAGTGAACCCAGATGCATACACTCCTCAAATGCTTCTCATCGGTCCACTTCAACATTCTAAGAAAGCTAAAGCCCTTGAGCTCTCCAAAACCGATTTAAGGTACGTGTGTATATATATTAATCATACTGATACAAAAGCTAGATTCTGATTTTGTGTTATGTTTACATTTATAACATGCTAGATTAATCATACCTTTATAGTGTTTTCTCGTATCAAATACCATTTTAAATTTGGTGTTTGATTTGATGCTTGCGCTTCTGTTAACATCTTAAATTATAGTGTTTGTGTTGAAAGTACATAATATGCTAATGCGCTTACATTATACTGTTCCAGATATTTGGACTATATGAACATGGAACTTCACAAGGAGAAGTACCTTAATGCTATTGCAAATAAATATGGAGAACAAATTATCGAAGTTTTCAGGAAAATCATAAGAACAAGTGAGAAATTTATAAGAGAAAGCTACGCCGAGTCAACGGAGTGGATCAAATCCCAAGAGTTCGTGGAAATGATCCTCCTCGACTCGGTGTTCATACTAGGGTTCTTTATTCAGACTGAAACTACTCAAAACATCAAGAAGAAAGAAGCAATTCTTTTCCATGAAGAAGATATTCTTTTCCAGGAGCCTTGTCTCATAACCACTATTTTAGAAGACCTAATCTTGCTCGAGAACCAACTCCCTTATGTCCTTTTAGAGGAACTCTCTATACATTTTTTCGCAAATCTTAAAACCAAGGAAACTTTCCGTGACATTATCCTTCGAGCTTTCAGGTTAAAAGGAGAGGTCAAAGAAGGAATGAATTTCCGACATTTTACAGATTTGTTCCGACGTGTCCTTGTGGAAACACTTTGTTTGACAAAAGAACAAATCAAAAGCGCAAAGGATAAGCCACCGGAGAGCATAAAGAGTCTGCACAACGCAGACAAACTAGACAGTGCTGGAGTGGATTTTGTGCCTCTGGAAGAAAAAAACAATTTATCGTTGGTGATTACTTTCGAACGGGGAATCTTGGAAATACCTTGTTTCTTAGCGGACGACAACACCGAGAGGATTATGAGGAACTTAATGGCCCTCGAACAATGTCATTACCCTCTCACTTCTTATGTTTGTAACTACATAGCCTTCTTGGATTTTCTCATCGACACCGACCAAGACGTTGACTTGCTCGTCAAGAAAGGTAATAACTCTTTACAATGATCTAGTTCAAAGAGCAATATCAGACGGCATGAAAAAGGGTTGCTCAATCCAGGTTTTCAGAATTTTTGGTCTGTGAAATGTAGCACAAGTCGGTTCCAGGTTACGTCTAGATTTTCTTATTTAATTTTTTTTTTCCTTTCTTAACATATCTTCACATTTTTCGTTACAAGGAGTTATAAAGAACTGGTTAGGACATCAAGCATCGGTGGCGGAAATGGTGAACAAGCTGTGTTTAGGGCTTGTGGATTTTGGATCTCACTATTACGATATAGCCGATAGACTCAACAAACACTACGAGAACCGTCGCAATAGATCCATCGCCACACTCCGGCGAGTTTACTTTAAAGATCTTTGGACCGGAACTGCCACCATTGCCGCCGTCGTTATCCTCGTGTTGACTTTGATTGGGACTGTGGCTTCCGTTCTCCAAGTGACGCAGAAGGAAAAATAATTCTCCACCGCCTCCGTCTCTGTTCTGAGGACCATAGATTGTCTCTTGTTATACACGAAACAAAAACAATATTTGCTTCTTCTTTTTTTTTCTCTCATGCAAAACTATGTTTAATTTGTTTTTCTCTTTAGCTCGACTTGGTTCAACAAATAATGTTTCTTTTTCATATTGTTTATTTATTCCATCATGGCTAACGTCATCTTTCCAGGTTGATTATGTATCTTAAGGGAATATCTCACAAAAATAGGGAAATATCTAAATTAAAACATTTTCCTAACTAAAACTTTCAATTTTTTCGTTTTTTTTATAAGACATTCAAATTACAATATTTTTTCAACAAAACCTTCGATCTTTTTCATTCCCATATAAAACTTCCAAGTTCCAACTAATTAACTTTTTCTAAATAAATTTTCAAGCTAAATTATCAAATTTGATCTCGAAAAGTAGTTAACTAATGGTCAACGAAAATTCTATTCAGAATAATAAACGGCTATTTACGATAAATTTTTTTAGTTTATTTCGTTTCCAAAATTTATATAAATCCTACAATAAAAATAAAAGATATTCTAGGATTTGTAATGATTTTTTTGTGTTTCCTATTATATATTAAGACATGTGAATTTCGAAAACTAAATAAATGGAAAAACATGTTGTTAAAGACCGCTTATCGTTAATCCATCATTGATCGGGCTCAAATAGTAAACATTTAACTAAATTGAATTAGACTCCATTATATATATATATATATATATATATATATATATATATATATATATATATAACTAGGTATAATATAGAACTAGTTGGACGTTCAAAATCTGTGGCGTACATGGTGAACAAGCTGTGTTTAGGGATTGTTGATGGCTCTCACTATTACGACATAGCCCAAAGGTTTAACAGATACTACGAGGACCGTTTTAACATTATCAGAATACAAAAAAGTACATCCTTCACTACTCTCAGTCTACTTCAAAGACCTTTGGATAGGAACTGCCATCGTTAGCGCCGTCGTTATCCTCGTGTTGACTTAGATTGGGACGGTGGCTTCCGTAGTACTCCAAGTGACACAGAAAGACAATAATCACACTAATTAAAATATTAAATCTCTCCCGGAAACTGCAGATCGCTACTTGCTATATACACGAAATTAAACGAGACTATATATATGATTATTACAGTATCTTTTCATCCATTCTGCAGAGGCATACTTAATATAAAATCGGTTGCTTTAATTTCTATGTAATAAACTTTCAATAAGTGTAATAATATTTGTTTAAAATATTAAATCAATAATTCAATCTTAGTGTCTACATATATATATATATATATATAGTAGTCAATAGTCAGAGTCTTCCTACAACTCATTTTCCTTATCTAAAATAAAATGCAATATATGGATTTAAAATTAACATAATTATTCAAAAATATTTTAAAGTCATACCATGAAAAGAAAAACCATAAAATGACATTAAAAAAAACAATAAACAGATATAGTTCAACCACTTAAAATAAAACATACTTCAACATAGTTTGTCAACAGGATTAAAATAGGTGACTACATACCACATGAGAGGCTAGTTCACTCCCTTTATTCATGAAATTAAAAACAAGAACGAAACTTATTCAAGAAACCCTTTCGTTGATATACAACAAAAGGGTTTCACCTTCAACCTCCCGGCCGAATCACTAGCGACGATCACCGAGGGCTGCTGCATTGGCGGTTCTTGACCTCTGACTAACGAACCTTCTGCAGTACATAGGACGCCCATCGATGACAACGCAAACCTTTTCACAATGCCCCAGCACACAACCTGGTATGTAATGAGAATTGAACATCACTTTTCCAAACAAACCTTGCCTAGCCACCCTCCCTGTTGGCCTAGGCTTGTGGACATACACGTCCACCACACTCCCCGGGTACATCCTAATCATCATCATCACATATATACACATATATGAACCAACTGAATCATATAAAAGATGTAATTAACTAGCTAAAAAACTAAAACAATTTGTTTGTATAGACTATATGTATCAAGAAGCACAATATATATACTGTGAGATGCAAGTCGAGATCTATTAGCTCAAACTAAACTAAAATTGTTATACATCTATAGACTTCGTAGATGTGTGTCTACTACACATAGCCAACCTTCTATGATGCAAGTCGAGATCTATTAGTACAAACTAAACTAAAATTTTATCAATCTATAGACTTCGTAGATGTGTGTCTACTACACATAGCAAACCTTCTATGATGCAAGGTAAAGTTTCAAGGTAATGTGTAATCGTCTTGTGACAAATCATTTGCACAAACCAAAAACTATTATCCATTTATAAATATCATGAATTAGGATTACACTTGCCTGTCGAAGTAACCGAAGATCTGGCTTTCTGTGAGAGGAAAGCCGTTAGAGAACGTGACAAATATACAACGTTTGTCGGGATTTGGGTTAAACTCCAGCGCATATGCATTTAACACAGAGCCCCCCGACGTGCTCATGGCGTCGCTCTCTATCTCTCTTCTTCCCTCTCCTTTTAACAACAACAAGAGAAACGCAATTTTTTTGTTTTGTTTTGTTTCTATATAGCATGGTACGTGTCTGGATACAACGGTTGGGATTTTAAGGAATAATATTTTCATTTAATGCATAGTATCAAAAGGTTGACAAATTTATTTCACATTCCACTGTGAGTGCATGTATGTACTACGTTTTACAAGAAACATATATCATTTCAGCTGTTATTTTATTTTTCTGTCATTTTAAAAATAACTTTCGAGGTTTCGTTGAATCATGTGTTCTTGTAACCGAATCGCAGTATATATCATATATTTCTTTCTACATATGCATCATATTTCTTTTTTATGAAACATATTTTTCCTTAGATTTTAGACATACCAGCTGTAGTATTCAATTATACAAAATCTCCAGTTGTATTTTCTTTATTTTGTTGTGCCAATTTTAGAAGATCAGAAACAACTTTTGAAGTTCCCTTCTTTTCAAGGAATCAAATAAGATTATTACACGCATTAGTTATTTATACATAAGATTGTTACACGCATTAGTAATTTATACAAACTATATTTGTTAATCAAAATTCATGAAACTTACTAGTAAAGTTCCAAAAAAATGTCATAATAATACTTGTGATTCACACCAATAAATAAAACAAAAAACAGTAATCACCACCACGGAGACGAGCATGTGGAAGTTAAGTAGCGTACATAATCAATCTCTCAAGGTCAAGCTTGAGATTAGTAAACAATACAATATACACACACATTCTCTGCAACAACATGCACAAAAAGCTACACAATGCTCAAACCTCGAAAAAAAATTATAAGAAGAAGACTCCCACAGTCCAAAGCTTTAGATTTTATTATATATAGCAATCTGTATTTATATAGTTTAATACATGTATATAAGCTTTACTTGCTTTATTTGCTTATACATGTATTTAGATTTCACAGTTTAGTTGCAGAGCAATGTGTCCCGCGTTGCATTCCCAGTGGTAGCGTTAACTCTACTAAGTCAAAGAAAAGAAAAACACAGAAACAATTTAATCACATTCTGCTGAGTTTCAGACATAATATAAGATAGATTCTAAGAGATAAGAAAATTATACCCATCCGCGATTTTGCAAAGGTATTCTCGTTGATCATCTCTTAGAGGGACATCGGTGAAGTCTAAATCCATTTCAAATATATACACACATAAGTATCAAACTTTATGTGATAGCTCAAAGGTGACAAAGAGATGTGCTAATTGTTATTATGAAAGTTTTCTTTTCTTTTTTCACCTGCGCCTGTAATATTTGATCCCTTGAATGATGTGTTTCCAGTAGCAGTCGCTCCTTCCAAGTTAGCGTTCGTTAAATTCACCTGCATGATGTAACATTTTAAACTATTATTCACCATTAATGTCAAAGATCTTTTTGTTATCCCTAGCTTTATACACATTTATGCACATACATGGACACATATATGTTACATCGAATACAACCTTTGTTACGTTTGCCAAGGAGAAATCTGCACCTCGGAGATCAGCTTCTGATAAATCAGCACCTGGTTTTACGATGATAAGAGTTAACATTCCATGAATGAGAAGTCGTCTCCATTACAGTTCTTCTACTACCTCAATAAAGAAAAGAGAACAAACCTGTTAGATCTGCATCAAAGAAGCTAGCACCTAACAACTTCGCACCCTTGAAGTTGGCTTGCCTTAGGATGGACTGCCGAAAATGTAATCAAATAAGAGGATGATAAATATGGTATTCATGATGATCTATAACTGCATAATGTATACCGTCTTGAAGTCCTGCCTGATAAGAGTCTGGCCACTGAAATCTTTGCCGGATAAGTCCTGTCCCCTGGTGACTCCTTGTCCATAGGGACCTCCACCCTTTCAGTTTCATCCAAATCCAGAAAATACAGTGAGGTATAAAGAAGAACATCTTATGATATCTTAGTCAATGGAATACGAAATCCATCTAGAACAATGATAACATATTCAAGGTGAACTTTGTTTCTGCCATTTCGCATTATTGCTACAAACACCTCAAATGATTTGGAGGGCATTTCTACAAATGGTAAACTAAGTACGTGATCATAAGCAAGACAGTGAAACTACAGGGCAAACTGTTTCAACTTATCACTCCAGTTTCTAACAAAGAAAGTGCCTAAACTTAACACTCAACGGTTTCCAATTTAGATTGGATAATAGATTTCCATAAACAACACAACGTTTGCTGACAATAACTTTTCTATGGTGATCTGATCATCACTTGCCTTAAAGTTTCGACCTTTTATAGCTTTATACCAATTGTGTACAACCACTATATGTAAGTTCCTTTACTTACTTTCATTACAGTTCCAGCATATAATTAAAAAAGGAGATAGGACCAAAAAAGGTTACCTTAAAAGCAAGAGCAGGATCAACAAAGAAGAGAGAAGCAGAGACAAGTGCAAGTAGACTTCTCTTTGAAACCTCTTCTCCTAATGACCAAACCACACTTCTCAAAGGACTAACAACAACTTCTTTTCCTTCCTGCCCAAAAACATAAAATCACAAAAAGAATCTTCTCAACGGACATATAAAATTGGATCTTGTCTAAGTCAAACATAATCTCAAATCAGTTTTCTTCTCAATGTATTAACACTACTAATACTATCAACGATACATACAAACATGAGCATGTGGTCTAGATATAAGATAACACCAAAGATCATACATAAATCAGTCCCTACAAATCTTCACTAAACAAAAGCTACAAGTGTTGTAATCAACTACTAATGCAAATCTGACTCCTTTATCAAAACCGTTTTTTTTTGTTTTTTTCTCAAAGCGGTTCGGAGAAAAGAATTGGAGGTTACCTGAGAGTAACGAAGGGGACAATGAGAATTACGAGAAGACGGAGAGTTGGAGAGAGAAGAGAGAGATGGTTTCTGAGAGACGTTGCAGCAGGAGAACAACGAGACGTTGCTGAGAATTACCATTTTTTTTTGTTTTCGGCTTCACGAATCAACGAGTCTCTGTTTCGGTGGATAAGCCAAAAGCGACTCTTTGTGGATAAAATTAGATTGTTATTATTATGACCGGTGTAATTTACTACTTGAGGAAAGGCCCATCTTTTTAATTGAGCCTATATAGGCCCAACACATATTGTCAAGTAATTAACCCAAATACCACTTTGACTTATGTACATAAATTATGGCTTTGTAGATTCTGAAATGATTTTTAGTTTTTGATTTTACAAAGAACAATTTATCACCCATTCAAGATTATAATCATAAATATATTTCCTAAAAAATAGAGAATGTAGATTTTAGGAGATCTTGTCAATTCTTTCACAAAATCCAAAAACTCCCATTTTTATTAGTTTTTACTTTATAGAGTGCTTGCGGTGATGTCATATAGTATTTTTTTTGTTTTCCATTTATTTACTTCTTCTTTTGAGCAAAATCCAAAGATCAAAAACCAAAATCTATAATCTAAATACCACTACAAAACTTGTCTTGAATGATATATAAAACTTTTTAAATGAAATTTTTGGTTTTATGTTTTTAAGTTAAAAGGTCTACATAACTCTCCAACCATCAAGTCCAAAAATAGATTTTGTCTCTAAGTAAAGAGGAATTATCTATCACTCGTAGTTCTCATTGCCTCTCTCGGTCCAATTTAGTGCCATCAAATCTAATTTCTCAAACACGACGAGATCACGTGCAAGTCATATGGATAACAGCTGTGCACACACAATCCAAAACGCATTGGATCGAGGCTGTGTGATCATAACATCATGAGAGGAGGGGGCACAAATGTAAATTCAGTAGAAGCTCGTGTCGCATCAAATGATTGGTGTCCGGTGAGAGAGAGACAATGAGACACGCGCAGGGTGGTGCGAAGATAGGACAATGCTAACCCCTCTAGTATTTCACTTGTGAGGTCGACACGTGGACACTCCATCACGTGACTTCCCACGTGAAACGCTGCCGTATCTAATTTAATTGAGTCCTTTTGTCTGTTTTTTTCTTCGCCTCAGTCTCGTGGCTCTCACTCGCCATGTCTCCTTGCTAACTTTTTTTTTTTTAATCTTGAAACTTTCTGCTTTTCAGCTTTTTTTTATTTATTTTGGATTTCGTAAAGATTTTCAAACGGAAGTACGTTAGATTCGAGTATTGTTTCTATTCCTTAATTATGATTTAATATTAGGGTTCAGATGGTTACAAGTTGCGAATCCAAAACTGACGGGAAATACCATAGTATTCTGAACAGCTGGTACTCTGAAATTCTAATCTCTTACACTCGATTTCCAGCGTAGCCCCATGTTTTTTTTTTCAAAGCGTAGCATGGGTTATCAATATAGATTGCACCGATACCAAATAATAATAATACTACTCTCTGTTCCTAAAAAAAATTGATTTTCTAGAAATTTCACATATTTTAAAAAACAATCATTGTTTAATTATTTATTTTTATTAAATATTTTTTAATAAACTATAAACTAATAGTATTCTGAAACAGTTAATTATTACTTCTTGAAATCTATGATTTATTAATATCAATTAATTAAAAATAAAGAAAAAATCTAAAAAATTAATCTTTGTGGAACAAACCCAAAACACTAGAACATTAAACTTTAAAGAACAGAAAGAATATTAATTATAAAGAATCAATCAAATCTTGGAACGGGCCAAGAAAAGCGACGGGCTTCCCACGTGGACATGTGTAATGATTTCGAGTAAATTGTTAGATACGTCGATACAGTAATGTGGTACGTGAAAAATATCATAATTATTTTGTAATGATTAAATTGGCTCAGCGAACAATTGTTGATGGATGGACTATCTAATTATCTATCTACAGACTACAGTAGTACTACTATGCCAATGGTTATCTAACTTATCTTAGCAGATTTGTGAGGTTAGAAAAAAAGAAATCAGTGTACATTTACTCTTTCTCTCAAACTTTACCAATCAAACCCAAAATAATACTCTTTCTGTTTCTATTAGTTTTGATGTTTTGGAGTTTTCACACATATTAAGAACTCAATCATTATTTAATTATTTTAATATTGTTTTAATCTTAAATATTTTTAACAATTATCAACCAATAGTAGTCTAAAAAGTTAATGATTTATAATCATTTCATCTTAAAATTTATAATTTACTATTATAAGTAAAATAAAAATAAAAAAAATGGTAGAAAATCAATCTTTCTGAAACAAACTAGATAGCTAGAACATCAATTTTTTAGAAACAAAAAGAGTGTATTTATCTTTGCCTTTTCTTTTTTTTTTCACTTTTTTACTCACTATTTCCTGATGATTAGATCTAAGTGAAATTTATGAAAGTAGTTTACTTAAACTAGTATACAGTATACTTAAAACCCAAAAAAACGTATACCAAAATAATTAGATTCTGAATTGTACGTACATATATATCGAGAAGGTGATGTATATAAGTTCTTTTTTTTTTTTTGTGCAAAGGTGATGTATATAAGTTCAAATTAGGAAAGTTAAAGGAGAACACATGCATTGGGACTTGGGAGAGCTTTTGCACATAGTTATGGACACACACGTGGGACCAAATGTGTGTCTTCTTTTTTAATGAAGATGTGTCAAAATTATTGAACTCTTGAATTAAGTTATTAGTATGATAAGTGTATTAATATTCATGCATGATTACCTCAAAAACTCGATATTGGTGCAACATGGGCTTTGGTTGCTTTGGTCGGTTTTCATTGGATCCTGTTCTTAGCTGTCTCTTACCGAACTGGTATCTTTAATTTCCCTCGCCATACTGTTATAACAAGACTCAAACCGCCATATTGTAAATATACTTATATCCACAATTTAACTCATATTTACGTATATTAATTTAATGTATTGAGTTTTTTTTTGTTTTTTTGGTTAAAGATTTATCGAGTATCTAATCACCAATTTTTTGGACCACTATTTCTATTTTTATTATATTGATTCGTTGAGACAAAAAAAAAAAAAAAAATCACCAATTTTTTATGTTTTACAAACGGATATCAGTTTTTGTATTTTTCATTATGATTTTTATGTACAAAATATTATGGTTGGAGGATATTTAATGATATGTAGTTTGTCGTATTAATTCTAGAAGATATTTTTGTATTGTTCTAAGTTCTAACGTTGTCTTCTTTAAATTCTGTCAACGATAGTATTTTTTTTTTTTAAAAAGCACAACGATTTTTACACGAACAATTCGCGAGAGTGAGCGCATGGGATAGTTCCTACCACCGAGTCGGAGAAGGAGAGAAGTATCCAATGATTAAAGAGAAGTGAATGTCTGGTCGTGGAGGAACAAATTACGCCGCACGAGGGTGGTCACTGGGGACCATGTGCTGCCACGTTGGCATATTCTTTCGTGAACGCCTTCCCATTTCCCACGTGACCTCCATTTCTTTAATCTTGCTTCACTTCTTCTACACTTCATGTAGTTTTATCATGAAACATACATACAAAAATATAGCATAACCATGTAACAAAGCAGAATCATACATACAAAAATATAGCATAGGTTTTCTAGACACAAAATAAAACAAAAATATTTGTCTGCTTTTAACATTCAAAAGTGTCAGAAGAAAAAGAACAAAGGGAGATTACATTAAAAGCTTAGAAACAAAAGTATATTCTCTCCGTTTCGTTTTAGTTGTCGTTTAAGATTTTTTCACACAAATCAAGAAAAACATTAAATTTTCTGTTTTAGCCTTTATTAATATATCCTATAAATTTTTTTATTGGCCAAAACATTAAAAAAATAGGGATAATACTGAAATTTTTACCAAACATTTGTTTTGAAAACCTAAAACGACAACTATTACGAAACAAAATTTAAGTACTAAAACGACAACTAAAACAAAACGGAAGGAGTATAAATTAACATGGGTTACGACTTATCAATTGTAACCTACAAGTCTGCAAAAAACTATATTTTTATATGCATGCTACGGCTCATAAATCATAACCCATGTTAATTTAGTTTAAAGCCCTTATTAATTTATCAATACATATTTTTTGTAGTGTTTAATTTCTTTGAGCAAAAAAAAACTTACAGGTAAAACATAGTACTGTTTAGTTTTTGGAGTGTTTTAAATAGAAATTTAGAAATATAATCTTTTTGTGAACAGTAGAGAGCCTGATTAGTCATAGCATTTCCAAGGTAGTTTTTGAAATTGAGGATTCTACTCTAGTGGGTTGTGTTTTACCTCCAAAAGCGTGGCCATCCTTCAAATGGGAATCTGTTGAGTTGCTGAGGGTTTTGGAGAGGTTACATGTTTGGAAATTAGCTTTGGTGTGCTCACAAGCAAATAGAGGAGCTCGTCTCATCGCGCAAAGTGTTTCTAGTGGCTATAGAGTTCGCTCCTATGTTGCGTCTAGTCATTTTTTTGGCTGCTAGTAAAAGAGTTTTATTCTCTGTGTGATCGCCGTTGAATGTTTTTTTTTTAGAATTTCATTATTTTGTATAGGCCATTTTCATTCATATAAATGGCTTAAATATAGGTGAAATTTTTTTTGGTTCCTGCTTTCAATTTGTTGACATTTGTAGGATATTCCGTTTTAACCCAAAAGATCACTATAAAAAATTCAGTTGACAAAAAAAAAATGTTTTTGTACTATTATGTCAATCAAGTCAACCAATCAATTAGACTTTAAAATAAAATCAATTATCTAAACATAATTTGCCAAGAAAAGTTTATAAGAAAGGTCAAAGCAAATTTTTAAGAGTCAATGAAAAGCATGACCGCATTGATTGAAGATACATAAGAAGTCAATACATATTCATTACATTTGAAAGTAATTAAAAACACTTTAATTTGTTTTGAAAAAGCGTCGGACGTTATTTAACTTTACAATTAAATAATAAACCCGACCTGTCTTGTCGGTAACTCTCGAAGAAACTGAAGTAGTAATAATGATGGCATTATCAACAAACAACTTTGAAAACAATAAAAAGGAAACATAAACCAAAAATTATTGTTTCAATGACAGCAAGTAGCCGTAAACACTACCACCAGTAGTCTTTTCCAAATGTCCGTTTTCTATTTGACTTAGCCATAAAATTCGATGGAAAAACTTGAATCTTGCTTTTATTAGTTGACCAAAAGAATTACTAGTACTAATCAAAGGAGAGTTTTTGGAAAAGGGAATAATAAATGAATTGAAGATTAATTAGATGCATGTTGGGTTCACGGGTAACTCTAGAGTCTTAAAAACCCCCATGGAGTGTTAGGCTATGTGTTATCAAGACGACATCGTTTTCTGACTAACATACCCATTTTGAGCCCAACGCCATTCTCTTCCGTTCCACGCGTTCTTACTCGCGTTTGTTCTTCACGAGCGGGCCTACTTTACCATACACATCTGTCTTTTCCTCTTAAAATACCATTCTCATGGGTTAAGAAATAAAACAATTCAAACAAAGATTTTGTTATACTGTTAAAGCATCTCCATCATCCACTATGTGGGTGTCTCAAAAATATTATTTTAATCAATTTAGAATAAATAAGTTATTTATTTAAATTATAAATTATAAAAAAAGAATTTGACCAATAATAAAATGACAAGTGAAGACACAGTTTCTCAAACCAGAAACTGTGTCTATATTCTCTCCTACTGTTTATATTATTTTCTATTTTTTTTAATCTTGAGACATTCCTCCAGACATTAGTGTTGGAGATGCTCTTACTATTGTTGAGTAGATCTACAAAGCGTGTGCATTATTACTTCCCAAAAGAATCACCGTGCTCACCCTTTTTTTGTTAAATAGTTAAATTATTTTAGCTATAATCAAGTTTTAAATATGACTTTTCGAGAATAAACAAATGATATGATTAATTAAGCATCATTTTTAAAACGTTGAACCAAAACCAAATAATTATTATTGTCAAAACATAACAAAATAGCTGAGATTTAGGTATCATAATTAAAATGTTAAACGCTTGTTATTGACTTTTAGTAACAAAATGAACAAAAATTCATTTGTCAAACGTATTGAAAAAATTAAACGCATTGGAGTTGAATGAGTTATTTTTTTAGTATTTTTTAGAGAGAGAGAGGAGCAGGTAACAGTATATATCATCATTGAAATTACAAGGGTCTCTCTGAGACAAGTCATCATTGAAACCACAAGCACCCCACAAAAACCCTTCTCTCTATCTCTCTTTACATATCAACTTCTGTGTATATATATATTAGTCATATCTTTAACCCCAGCACTACTAGAAACCCAGAAAACAAAAGCTCTTTCTTTAGAGAACAATGGGTGAAAGAGATGATGGGTTGGGTCTGAGTCTAAGCTTGGGAAATAGTCAACAAAAAGAACCATCTCTGAGGTTGAATCTTATGCCGTTGACAACTTCTTCTTCTTCTTCGTTTCAACACATGCACAATCAGAATAATAATAGCCATCCCCAGAAGATTCATCACAACTCTTGGACTCATCTGTTTCAATCTTCTGGTAATACTTCTCTTCTTTTTTCTCATTGTTTTTTTTTTTAAACATTAAATGTGTTGAAATTCTGTTTATGTGCAAAATATTCGAAGATTTCGCTTTACTTTCATATCTCCGGATCTATGTTTCAGATCCGATCCTTTTAATAAAGATATTTAAGTTTTAGTAATGTACGAAACTGAAGCTAAAAATGTTTTTGATGTACTCTAGGAATTAAACGTACAACTGCAGAGAGAAACTCTGACGCCGGGTCTTTTCTAAGAGGTTTCAACGTGAGCAGAGCTCCGTCTGCGGTGGCGGTGGTGGACTTGGAAGAAGAAGCCGCCGTTGTCTCGTCTCCGAACAGCACCGTCTCGAGTCTGAGTGGGAATAAGAGGGATCTTGCGGTGGCAAGAGGAGGAGATGAAAACGAGGCGGAGAGAGCTTCTTGCTCACGTGGAGGGGGAAGCGGTGGAAGTGACGATGAAGAGGGCGGAAACGGCGACGGATCAAGGAAGAAACTCCGGTTATCGAAGGAACAAGCTCTTGTTCTCGAGGAGACTTTTAAAGAACATAGCACTCTTAATCCGGTTAGTGGCATTTTTAGTAATTTGATCCAACTTATTAATCCGGCTAATCATTACATTTTCGTAATTTATCACTTCTTATTGCATGGCATGGACGTTTGTGGTTGGCTTCTTTCTAAAAACTAAAATTGTGTTCTTTGTTTTTTTGAATTATCGGATTGGGCAGAAGCAAAAGCTGGCTCTAGCAAAACAGTTGAATCTAAGGGCAAGACAAGTGGAAGTGTGGTTTCAGAACCGAAGGGCAAGGTAAAGAAATTATCTTTATTTCTAGGGGTATTACCGGAAATTTGGTTTCACAGAACCTTAGTAATTGCTATGATGGGGATATAATTGTCCTTTTATGACCCAAAAGAGATTTCAGTTCCCTGTCTTAAAAGAAAATCCTAATAAGATCTCTGCCTCTGTACTGTCACATGGCGTTTTACTTTTTACTACAGCCTTAAAGACACATGCATGCGTATGCGTACAAATAAAATCTACTTTTGTCCTTCTGTTTCTTAATTAATAAGCTTAGTTTTAAAATTTAATTTTCGTCCATTTCACTAATGAAGATGATTTTGATTTATTATGTGTACATTAGGACGAAGCTGAAACAAACGGAGGTTGATTGTGAGTATTTGAAGAGATGTTGCGATAGTCTGACGGAGGAGAATCGACGGTTGCAGAAAGAAGTGTCGGAGCTGAGAGCGTTGAAGTTGTCTCCACATCTCTACATGCATATGACTCCGCCTACTACTCTCACCATGTGCCCTTCTTGCGAACGTGTCTCCTCCTCTGCCGCCACTGTGACGGCTGCTCCTCCTACTACTCCTACGGTGGTGGGGCGGCCAAGTCCACAGCGGTTAACTCCGTGGACTACTATTTCTCTCCAGCAAAAATCAGGTCGCTAGGGAAGGAGTATCTTCGGTAGTTTTAGCTTAGAATAAAGATATAACAAAAAAGGTTCAATTTGAGGCTCTAACTGTTAATTTTGTAAAAGACTGTTTGACAATATGAAAAGAATTGCAAGAAGCAGGCTTTTACGGAAATGGTTATAAAATTTCTTTCCTAATTTACACTATTATTATTCGAGACCGTTATCCAAAAGTTTCTTTCCATGAACAGTTGCAAAATATGAAAATTCTATATAGCCCAAATGAAACAATGACACTTGAAAACTGGTTTTGCTTTATCTATCGTAAACGTAAAATCAAAAAGATATTCATATTCTTATTACACTAAAGATCTCAAGTCAGTACATTAAGGGCCGTTTTTCACCGGGGCTAGTTCAAGCTGTCTGCGCAGGCAAATCTTGATCCAAACCAAACCAAACAAAAATAATGAAATTGCCTGAAAGCATACTTCTGACAAGATGCCTTTAAATTAAAATATTAACTTTTAAGAAATCAAATCAGAAGCGAAACAAAAAAAAGTGTGAAACAAAACTAAATGTTGATCATAATCGTTTTGTTATTTGTTATCTTATTTTATAAACGAAAAATTGGATTACGAACCCTTAAATGTCATTGTAGGCTTGTAGCAGAACAGAAGGGCATTTGATCCAATAAAGAGGATTCCATTCAAAAATAATGTATCTAGAATTTGTGTGTTTTAGTTTTATTAGTTTCTTGAGTATAATAGGGTTTGGAAAACTAGTGAGTCATAACTTGACAACTGAACTGGTTTTCTCATTTCCGAACCTGTAAAAGGATTACCTTTTTTTTTTTTTTGACGTCTAGATTTATTATTTATTGCAAATTATGAGAACTGTTACATAGACGATTCTACAACGGACAATTCCTTCCGACCCTTATTAGATCCACGACAGACGACAAAAATCATAGTGGGCTTTTTGCCGGCATTAGTGCTATGAATAGATGTTCTTCTTTTTCTTTTGTTGGGTTTTAAAACCGAGAGGCTATAATTGTACTTCGCTGGAGATCTCCTGCACACTTACCTCCTTTAATCTGCAAATTTATTAATAAATCGCAATATCTGGGACTCGAACCCCAGACCTCTTGGTGTAGAAGTATTAATTAACCCTTGGTCAACCAATGGGCCAAGGGGGCTTCCACAAAGGATTACCTTTTTAGAATTCAGTTTTTGTGAGTATATTGTTTGTTACCTCTAAAATCCTGAGAGAGATCTTCTAGGGATTGTACGTAATAAAACTTGATGGGCTTAGATAAAGATAAACCAACAAAAAAAATCATAGTGGGCTTTTTGCCGGCATTAGTGCTATGAATAGATGTTCTTCTTTTTCTTTTGTTGGGTTTTAAAACCGAGAGGTTTCAAAACCGATCGATGTGTTGCTTCGTAAACTCACATATGATGAACAAACTAGAGGCATGTAAGGTAAATATTGGAAGTAGTTAATTTAAGATGACAATGATAAAAATTGCTTTTTTACATGTAAGTAATCAAAGCTTAAAACTTGATACATAGTTTTTGGTCATCTTCTTTTATCTTTTTCGGTTGGAAATTTTTATTGTTCGGATTAATGGAAAACTTAGAAGACTAACACGGCTAGAGGATATGATGGTGATGTTGATTAAAACACCAAGTTGTTTTGTTTTTAAAAAAAATTATGTGTAAGGAATTTTCAAAAATCAGTTTTAATGAAACAAAGATTGTTCCAATTGGAACATAAATCCAGTGTTCTAAAAAGCGGTCTAGGCGGTCGCCTAGGCCCCGACTAGACACTAGGCTCTCATGCGACGTCTAGATTACCGCCTTGACCGCCTAAAATCACATAGATCTTGTTTAATGTATTTTTTCAATTTCAATTAGAGATTTATTTTTATATATAGTTATAAATATTCATATATTTTTTAATATAAATATAAATAAATGTTTTATCTAGTTTTTGTTTATAATTTCATAATTTTTAGTTTTATATAGATATTTTATATAACTTTTATATATAATATTATATTTATAATTTTTTATGTTATAAACGTCTAAACCGCCTAAAAAATCGCCTAGGCCCCGATTAAGCGTTCTAGGCGCTAGGCACTGGGTCACCGCCCGCTTAGCGCCTAGCGCTTTCTTGAACACTGCATAAATCTCATAACAAATGAAATTATCAATAAAAAGAAGTACGTAATACAGAATCTTATACCTTTTTTTTTTTTTTTTTTTTTTTTTTTGTCAAAAACTTGTTTCATTCATAACAACGGAACAAGGCTCAAGATAGCCGCAAATACAAGGTTAATATGGCTTGAATCAAATTATTGGCCGACCCGGTTTTGGGTCCAAATGAGCGGCTCGTCCAGTTACTCGAGCCACCTCTTTTTTTTTTTTTTTTTCTGTCTTCTTTGGTTTGCTCGTCAAACTCTCACTTAAAATAAGTTTCATCTAACTTCTCAGAAGTATTTCCTGTGGGGGTGAAAATGTAAAATTGAAAGTGTAGTGAAGAAGTCGATAAAAAAGGAAAGGAGTTGTGCTATGAGATGCAGATTCCTATATTCAATATGGTCGACATATATCTCCTTTCTTTCTAATTTCAGTACTTTCAAAAAGAGTAACTTTTAAGTTTTAATGATTTTGTTACCAAAATAGACGCACAAAACCAAACCTCGATTTATTAAAGTCCAGTCTCTTAATGTTCTGTTCAACCAATAATATAAAAGGATACGAATAAAATAAAATAATTATATACACGGCAAATTTCGGGAATAATATGATTATGAAAAGTTTTTTTTTTTTTCGTCTAAAGGATTATATTGATGGTTAAGAGGTTACACCTCAGATTACATTTGACAAACAAAGACAAACAAAGAACCGACGATCAAATACACGATCTCGGAAACTAAGCCGAAGGATAAAAAGAAATCCTCGGAAACTAAGCCCAAAGAGATGGGAAGCAAACAACACTACGAATGAAACACAATGCCAAAACAAAGAAGGCTAAGGAAGCACATTGAAGAGGAAAACAAAGCTCTAGATCAGAATCTAGCACCACATATCTTGCCTACCATCAAATCAAACCGCGAAAAAGCTTGACAAAGTGGCTGACCGCTGGAGACGAGAAAATCCACGACACCGGACAGCGACTCCTCCTTTAACAATGAAGACTACCTCACAAATATAGAGAACTAAAGCATCTTTACCAGCAAGAAGAGAAGACGACTAGAGACCACACAACTCCTGGAAACGGCGAAATCGAGGCAAATGATAACCACGATTTGTCCACGGCAAGGAAGATACCAATGCAATAGAGAGACCTCGATCAGGTCTAGACCGTAGAGACAAGGACCGAGCCCAAACAATCCGCATCAAACCGAAGACTGGAAACGGCAAGAGAACGAACCGGATCGAATGACAAGCAAGCGCGGAAGGACATAGAATAGGCAAGAGAACAAGATGCTAAACCACAAAAGACTGAAAATAGAACAGATTCCATCACAGCCACCAACAGACCAACAATGAAGGCAAAAGGACAAGAACCCAAAAGCGATCGAAGAGAACAAGGCTAACGAAAGGCCAAGAGCAAATACCAGACCACTAACGCCAAATTATCAGGGTACCGTTGCAACCCTACCCAAAGGAAGAGAGCCAGACCACAAATAAACATTAGCCGCCGCCATAACCGCCGCTTAACCTTCGTCGAAACCCAAATTTGAGAGGACAAAGGAGGAGCTCAGACTTTCTCGAAACAGAGAAAGAAGAACTACAACCACACAAAGAGCCAACAACGAATCGAAGAACAAATCCATGGTCCTTTCAGATTTGAGATCTAAAAAAATCTTCACCTCGCCAACAACAACAACCAAGGATCAAAAAACCGAAAAAGGCTAAGCAAAGACAAAACCTTAAAGAGAAACGGACAGAGGGACCGACGCCGGCGCTATCTAAGCCGCCACGCGCCGGTCACGCGCTTTACGGAGACTGTTTGCTTTTTTCTCTGGTTCTGTCGCCGCGAGAGAGGATATGATTATGAAAAGTTATACTAGTATTTTTCTGCAAATCCCGTTTTCATTAATACGAAAAAGCTAAAACAATACAAGAATGGTATAGTACTCGTCAGACCTCCTAGTAGATCCAAGAAGCCCTAACATATTCAAACTTCAAAGTATAATTGTATATAGAAATTTAAATTGTTATCATGAGTTTGTGCCTTTTTAGGCACAATATTATATACTAACACGAACTTGAAATGGTCAGCTAATTGAACAGATTCCAACTAAACCTCAATACCAAGTTTATTTTATAGACTAAAAATCGAAAATAGTAACAGAAAATAAAAAAAACTAGACTAACAACGATGGCTGATTATTTGAATAACGTTTTTATGGTTGAGATAAATGAAATTCTCCTGACAAAAATCCACTTTGTAATGGAGTAACAACAAAGAGAAACAATATGAAATTAAAGTACCAATTTTTATTAAAGAACACTAACGAAAAGAATAACAATAATCTTAAAATGTAATTGCGGTAAATTAGATCTTACGTGCTATTTTGAAAAATATCACGAAATAATGTCGTCTACTGTAGATCTCAAAACAAACGGAGGATGGTTTTGTTATTTCACATCTTCAGACAAGCTGGGTCCATGCGGTTTTCCGACAGAAAATTTTCTCTCTGCTAGTTTCTTAATTTATGTGTCAAACTTGGCTAGTTAGTAATATTACTCATTAAAGTACCAATTTTTATTAAAGAACACTAACGAAAAGAATAACAATAATCTTAAAATGTAATTGCGGTAAATTATATTTAAAGTTTCGTCTACTTGGATGTTTACAGGTGGCATATTTCCATTGACGTTTCGCTGATAATTTATTTAGCTCAACACATATACATAACTAATTTTCTCAAAAAAAGAAAAATAGACAAGATTAGTTGCCTAGTTTGATATGGATAATAAGTTTTTGTTTCAAAAGACATATGATCGTTTATGTTTTTAATTTGTAATTTTTTTTTTCGAATATGACTGAATGATTTCAAAATTACATGAATAGAAGTTTATGATTTTTTTTTTGCGGAATATGTTTAAGTTCATGTACCTCAAACGCAAAAAGGAAATCGGATTTTCTTAGAAGAAAACTCGTATTAAAGG